GACAATGCGATCCCTGCGTCGATGTCCCGCTCGCGATTCTTGAGAAAAATCCCGTAAATGGATCTACGTTTCTTCAATGCTGCAAATCAATTGTTGGGTCGCGGTCACAGAAACGAAAGCAAAATATGGCAGTGTAATAATCATAGAGTATTTTGATTTAACATTTGACAACTAAGTTATTGTTTCTGGTTTTGTGAAATATATTATGAATAATTTATTATGTAATATATAGGTATGTATATATATACACCTATATATTACATAATAAATTATTTTCACAAAACCAGAAACAATAACTTGGTTGTCAAATGTTAAATAAAAAAAAAAAAAAAAAAATATATATATATATAAATATACAAATTATTAAAAAAGAACTTAATCTAATCTAAATATAATGACAAATCTAACGCAACCTAATATAATCTAATCTTTATGTTGACCTCTTCATAAGTTGGAGAGACGAGAGATATATCGATATGACAACGTCATATATTGTAGTAATACGAAATTGTTGGAACCCTTGTGGTTGACAAACGGTGATTCTCATCGAGCATCCACCATTAATATGATTTGTCAGTTGCATACGTCGGTAATAGCGAAGTTTTCCGACCGATTTGCCGAAAAAGTGCCTCAACAAGGCGCGTGCGGCTGCTTCAATATGAAAAACAAGCGGCACTCCGGTCCTCCTTTTCTCCCACGTGGTCGCTCCGAAAGGCAAAACGGTCTTCAATCCGAGTCAAGAGACCTCGAGAGGGGTTACTGGCAACCACGTGGAAAAAAAACGCCGTTCGGTTTCAATATTAAAGACGAGAAAAAGTGAGAAGGAAAATACTGAAGAGTAGAAATCTCGTAAGCGTAAATTCAACGCTTTAACATTCTCGGAAAAAATTTAAATATCCATACGTTTATGTAATTTTCACAAAATTGATATTATTCGTATTTTAACAATTATACGATCTGATTTCAAATAACGAGCACATGATAATAATTCGCATTTAATATATATTTTCTTTATGTATTTTATATATTTTATATTGTATACATTTTTCCACATATTTTAATATACACGTATACAAAAATAAATATATAATAGAATATATAACAAAATTAATAAACTTTAAAAATAGCAAGGCTCATATACATGTGTATATAAGACGTTTAGTTAAGACATATACAGAGTGTTGTTAAATAAGTGCGAAAAATTTTAAGAGAGGATTCTCTGTCAAAAATTATAAGGGAGGTGTTTCATATAAACAAATACTCCTTATATTCATCCCTGAGAAGTTACACTTCTTCATAGGGGAAGGGAAAATTAAGACTTTATTTTTCTTCTCGAAAACTATTGAGTCTATGAAAAAAAATAAAAGAAATAGAAAAGTTTCTAAAGGAATCAAGCTTTCTAATGCATAAGTACTTTTAGATGATCATATTCCGGTTAACAAGTTTTAATAAAAAATTGAATAGGGGTTGTTAATTTTATCCCTTTATAACGATACGAGAAAATTACCAAAATATTAATATTTTTTTACTGGTGAAAAATAACCACCAAATTTCATTTTTCATTTGAAAAAAAAATATAAAAATCTAATTCTTACCTCTCTCTTTAGAGGAGTATAACTCTTCAGAGATATAAGAAGAAGAATATATATATTTATATGAAAAATCCTCCTTAATTTTCAACGTAGAATTGTCATCTAAAATTTTTCGCAGTTATTTAGAAACATTCTGTATGTACCATATAATTTTCATTAAACAGCTTAAACAACGTGTATCGTGCTATTGGAGAGAAGGCGCAGAATTTGACACGTTTAGGCAATAAGCGGAATCATTTTTCAAGCCCGTCTGCCGAAACACCACCGACTGCCACGCAATAAACGTAACTTGGTTGATCATTTAACTTGGGTTCTCGAAATCATTCGGCAAATTGGAGCGCGAGCCCTCACGCGAGGGGTCTCTCGGCCGAGTGAACTTAAGCCGTAGATTGGTTTAGTCGCCACGCAGGCACGCCGCAGGTCGGTCGTCCTGCGGATCACGCGTCACCGAACAGGATACATCAAGAGGAGTGAGAGAGAGAGAAGGTTCCTTTCGCTCCCTTCGGCCCGGTTTCTCTCTTCCCGCTTTTTCTTCTTCTTGTATTTTATCTCACCCTTTTCGACGGATTCGGAAAACGAGGTAGGAATTTCGTGGCAGGTGATGTAATAGTGATACATCGAAAACTATCAGCGATCAAATTCTTCTGTAGATTCGAACCCCGTAATCGAAATCCATCGTAAGGACAATTTTCTCTTTCTGTTATTCCGAAAATTTATGAAGATTATTGCACGCATGATAAGTGACAAATATTTTTTGTAGCTTAAAAAATGTGTTTTATTAAAATTTTGAATATAAAATTGTTTCATATGTATTTCACAAATAAGGATAAATTTTGTATGAAATACATTATGATATTTTATTTTCTCGACGTTAAGAATTTTATTGTTTTAATTATAAAATTGGATGAAAGTGTGTTTGTACTAAAAAGAATTAATACTTGCAAATTGACCAGAAAATTGATTCAAAGTATTTTATTCCAAATGTAATAGTCTTATATAAAAAAACTTTCTCATCTATTGCGGGGAAATTTCAGAGTGGATAAACACCGAAGAAATTTGGGGTGAATTTCGGTTTCGTGGTTCTTATTCTCCCCTCTATCGATCTCGTGACACGAAAACTTCTGAACGTTTCCCAAAAGATGTGAGAAAAGGATTAGGACCAGGGAATCCTAACGTGCGAATCAAACGAAAGGGCGCTTTTTTTCGCTTCATCGGATTTTAGAAAAGATTCGCGAGACTCCAAAAGGATTCGTTACCAATATTGTCATGGAAATTCGATATCGCAAGGTTCAATATTATATTCTCTATTGTTATGATTTTAATATTTCTATATCTGAGAATTGTCAAATAAAATCTTTCTATTTCATAATTTTCATAAATTTCCGTTGATCTCTATTAAATTGGCAAGAAAAATATATTTAAAATAGGAAACAGATAATGAAAATCATTTAAATGAAAATATAAAATAATTTTAAAAAATATATTTAAATGGAAAATTTTTTTAAATGCATATATTTCAAATAATACATATCTCTGGTTAAACCGATGCAATGCGTATCTGTGAAAATTCTAATAAAAGAATTAACTGTTTGGATAATTTCGCAATCTTTCTTTCATTTTACGGCTCAATTTGCGCTGCATTAAGAATAAGCCTGGATCGACGTGAGAAAACGTGGTCAACTCTCTCTCTCTCTCTCTTTTTCTCGCGACGTTTTCTCTCTCGCACGTTTGCGCGCGTGGGGTTGATAGATCGGTCCGACGAAACGAAGGGGTAGTTTGGCTTTAATCGATCCTGTAATCGCCACTCCGACAGTTGGCCCCGGCTGCCTTTTTGTCGGCAGTTAGATGGATGGCGCCATTTACATTTTGTCAGTGCGACATGCGCTAACGCCGCCGCGCTATCATATCTATCACATCCCAACTACCCCTATGGACCGGTACGCGATCAGTTTCCTACTGTCCAGACTTGGAAATCTCTTTCTGACGTACGTAGCGAACGACAAGTCTCTCTCTGAAGGCGAAACCTCTTTCTCTCTCTCTTTCGCAATATCAACCCTCATTGTGATTATATGGAGAATCCACACGGTCTAAAATATCGAAATACGAAAATTGATGACGAGCAGGCGAATAAATTGCAAGCGCTTATTAATGCATGAATTATTTATCCGTCAAAGACCATTTTAAACAGCTGACTCCCCATATCCTGACTTCGAACACCGATTTTACGGTCGACTTGGGACGATGCGCGGCCTAGCGTATGCACTTCCACAACAAATTCCATCCAGGAATCCGAAAATTTTTGAGGAGGAAGCGAAAGAGAGTAGTAGAAAGACTGTCCGGTTGACAGATCTGTCAACGTGGATGACACCTCCGGTCGAACGAATCGGCCAGGTGGTTCCTGTCGAAGCCAGGAGAGACAACTCTGTCTATTTCTCTCCTCTCCCTTCCTTTTTCCTTTCCCGTTGCCGGCATCTGTCGGATAATACCTGGGATTATAGCAGTAGGATAGGAGGAAACCCAGTGACACATCGGACTCGAAAACGCGGGATGAAGCATTCCTGCGTCGAACACTCCTAACCATAAACAGATCGATCATCTTTCAAACGGTTCGACGACAATCTGGAATCGAGATGATATCGGATAAGATTCACGCGTGTGAATCTTCGCCAATTGCGACAGAAAATAAGTATGACCCTGATGAGAGAGATCACAAATATTCAAAGATATAAGGACAATATGTGGATATCCAATAGATATTCTTAAACAATTTTTTGTAGACATGTATACATATAGTAGATTTTTAAAAGATATGGATATATGGATATTATATGTGGATAACCAATAAATCGCTGATTTTTCAAGAGATACAAACATTTTAGACATCTATTAGATATTGGTTATCCGTAATAAATATAATATTGATATGTAGATATCCAATATAGATATCCATTAGATATTTTCTTCTGTGTGGGCAATATTCTTTTATATTTACACATCACACACCGAAAAGCTAAATCCTTCTCCTAAATATATCTTTTACGAACTTGTTCATTTTCCTCTTGTGTCTTTCGTAAAAAATTAATATTGTGTAACACGAGCAATCTTGTGCCTTCCGCCAGGCAATTGAAAAAATAAAAATACCCGGCCGCGTTGATTGGCTTCGATAAAAAGTTGGAAATGGCGGGAGCGTTGGACGACTACTACTTCGTAACATTGAGAGGGCGCTGCAAACGTCTTTCGCTTCGAAAGGTCAGTTTGAACTGATGGAGCACCGACCTATTCGCTTTACGATCAGCCTCGACCAGCTTCGCTCAGAAGAATTCGAAAGCGGGTGCGGAAGCGATAAACACACACACACATAGACATATATATGTACAATTGTACACACTGTAGAAGCATATGACTCACCTCCCACGCGTAACGGGGGTTGAAAGGCTCGCTTGCCCATTTGCCGAGGTACGGGCCGAATCTCGCGCCGCGAGGAATGTCCTTGCGTGCCCGAACGTATGGACCACCCGGTGCTGAACCGCCGACCTCGACCTCCGGGACTGGTGACACCCACTCGCGACTCGAGTGATCCTTGGAGTCCTGCTTTATCGCGTTCTCTATGCAGACGAATGTCCGAGTGTCAGTTTATCGAATATTTATGTCTACAGGGATGGGATCTCTCGAGTTCGATATATGTATTGCAAGTCGACTAAGCTAATAATAATCAAGTTTCAGTTTCCTAGGATAATACTCATGGGAAATAATATTTTGTATATTATACTTCTGTTAAGTAATCAAGTCTAGAACTGTTATATTCGAATTTTGGATTGAGTATTCTTACAAGATTCGAAGTAGTGCTTATAAGTACTTTCTGTTGAACATTTATTAAACTTGGACACACACACAAGTGGCTTATAATTTCTTCTTCTTTAAGTAGAACATTTTAAATTTAAATTGTAATAAAAAACATTTGTTCTAATTTTATTTGAAATATTAAGTAAAAAATCTAAAAAAATTAGAACAATCTGAGAAATTTAGTAGATACTCTAAAAGTATACATTTCGCGGAGAAACTTCAAGACTCACGATACTCGTTGCTGTAATCCCGCGATCTCGAGTACTCCTTCCGCGAATTCGTCTCGCTGTAATCCCAGGACGATTTTCTCTCCTCCTCCCGAGAAGATGGCGACGGTTGATGCTTCTTGCGCTGCCGCAATTCCATCTCAGGCGAGTAGCTACGCTGCTGATAGGCAGCAATCCTGGATTGCTGGTTGTAATCTTGGGCTATCTCGTGCACGCTGCCAGCATGATGGGGTCTCGAATCTCTGTAAGCGGGAGGATTGTTGCTGCTGCTGTTGCTGCTCGTGCGAGTCGATCCGTTCTCCTCCATTTCTGCGTTCTCGTTGCCGCCACCTCCGCCTGTCGCGCCCGACGTCGACTCGCCTTCGTCGCTGCTTCCTGGAAATAAGAAAATATCGAGATTCTAATCAATGAATCTTGAATAAATAATGGAGAGACTGAAGAAATTAATTTTTAAATTTATTTGTATTTTTATTAATAATAACATGTGCTTCTATGATTACAAAAAGATAAAAGTATTATTTAGCTTTTATAGCTAGAACATTTTTTTTAATCTTAGAAAAAAATTAATTTTTCAAAATTTTATTATAGCGTTTAATTATAATAAATAGAAATACTTTTACTATAAATCTTTTATATAAAACATTTTCTCATAGCTCAAATGTTTTTGGAAATATATCGAGAAAAGCTGTTCTACACATGAGGGGAGGTTTCATCTCTTATAATCGCTTTTGAACAGTAACTGAAAATTTCTAAATTCATCTATTTCATTCTTCAGTTTCTTTGTTAAAGTCTACAACTAAAGAAAGAAAAATTGGAGTAACGATTTCTATCACAACAATGAGATTAATTAATCGGAGATAAGATACTTAATAATTATTATTAATAATAATCTTTAAAATTTATTTTATTTTATTTTATTTATAATTGTAAATATGTATATTTTAGGAAAATATTCACGTATCACGATTACTTGAAGGATTCCTGAAAATTAGCGTCCGAAACATTTATTCAGCAACATCTATACGCCATTTGCGAAAATTCTATTTTCTACTAGAAAGATTTATAGAACGTTAATGAGAGATGATTTTCCGGAACGTGACGTATTGATTGGTTATTTCTAAGAAAGCGGCAGCCGCTCGTTGTATTCCCGCGATAAAGTCGCGGTTCGTGATATTAAACCCAAGTACGAGCGTTTTGTTGCGAGAAAGGTCGTGGCTTTGTGTAAACTTTGCGTCTCAATGAAGGTCGGAAAATCATGAATGGTTTCACACGCGAGAGAGGTGCAATAAATTTATTCCTGTTTCCCTCCTCTTTCCTCGCTTCCTTTACGACTTGACGAAATCCTAGACACACAAGGACAAGTGCCAATTGCTATCTGCGGCACGTTTCTTGGACGCAGCTGCCGCACGCATGCATAGTGACACTCAACCCGAGGATGTTTGCCATGATAAGGATTTTATTGTCCTCTTGTGTCGGCTGTTCTTGATGCGTCGTGACATCACTCGCGCGAAACAGAGAGAGAAAGAGAGAGTAGGTACCTATATCGTATCTGTGTATTGTCGAATAAATTTGCTATTATTGTGTGTCAAACTCGTCCGAACAAGGATGTACAAATGTATGATAAAAATATGTGGCTCGTTTAAAATAAAATCTATATTTCAATTCAATTAAATTTGCGTGAAAACGATATATGGAGAATATTAAATATAATTTATTCCACATCAGATATCTCTTTTTTATTTTTCGTGGCAATTATTTTATATATCATTTTATGTGCCTTTAGAAGCGATAAAGAAATATCGCATAAATCTGGTTTCGTTTGTACAACTTTTTTGCTCCGGTCCTTCTCTTATCTCTGAATCGAAAGATATCTACACGGAGTATGTATCGAAACTATCTAAAAACAAACTGTAAACTTTACGCGAAGATCGAGAGTCCTCTGCAAATAGCGAGAGAGTTTCGTGTGAATCGGCGAACTAAGCAAATGATTGTTTTAACGACGAGCTGGCAGGTGTATCGAATAGACGGACAAATCGTCGAGGAGAGACAGAAAAGCGGAAGAAAGGAAAACAAAAGAGGTGCTATAAATTTATAATTAAAATTCTTTCTCGCGATTAATTTCGGTTTATATAGCTCTTTAATCGAATTAATTTGTTCGTATCGCACATCTCTTGCTGTCAAATATTTAATTGGATCGGGAAAAAAGCGAAGAGGCAAAAAATAATTCTTCGACAGAGGCTAGACTATATGTATGTAGTTCGTATATGGCAATAAAACGTTAAAAATATCAATTTTTACGATGCCGGCTTCAATTCCATTCTAATCGGAAGAGTAAACAAAGACTTAAAGATCCCCGTCGACTTACGTCGGCGCGAGTGAGTCGTAAAAGAAAACGGTGATCCTACAAAGGGTGCTAGTCGACACGAAGCTCAAAGAGACAGAATGTCTATGAGCGGCGATATCGGTGCGTCACCGCTAATGGAAGGAAATAAATCGCTGATAAAGTCATCTGATATAGATTCAAACTTCTAAAATGCAAATTATTGCATAAAGTATACCACACTGTTTATTGGAATTCATATACATATCACACTTGCGTGTAAAAATTCTATGAAATAATTATAATAAATATTTAGAATGTTGTTTTATTTTTCAACTTTAAATTATTTTATTTTTAAAATAAAAAAATTAAAATTAAAGGGATTTATTAATAAATGTCTAAATATTTATCATAATTACTTTATAGAATTTTTCTATTAGATTTCTGCAGATAACAATTTTTTATAATATTCCAATAAATTGTTTTCAAACAGAACTTTATGCGTGCAGATCTAAACACATTGAAAAAAAGAAAAAATAAAATTTCAGTAGTAAAGCAATAAGATAATAAATCCCGAAACAGTTGCGGGAGTGTGTATAATTGCATATAGCATGGATTAACACTGTTATCCCAAATTTGGATCTAAATCCGACCAAAACAAACACGACTTATCGAAATCGTTTGCTCGCGAATGGAGATGATCGTAAAGAAGAGACCTGATCAGGCGAGGGATACGTCGGGATCGACACTTCAGATCCTCTTGCACCGTAGAAAGTCGATACGATACAACAATATTTGGGAAACCCTCGAAAAAGCCCAGGGGTCTTTGACTCCTGTGGGATACAAGTGTCGGGCGTATTTTCTCCCTTGGCAGAGAAGCACGAGTATATATATATATACTTGTTGAACCATGCGTGACATTATCCGCGATGATAGCGGCTCAAGAGGCTCTAAGGATGATTAGAGCAAAGTGCCGCTCTAGTGGTAACTATAACGCTTAGTATATCCGACGCAAATTAATCGTGGGAAGAATTTCTTTCTTCTTTTTTTTATTAATCGCACAAAGATTTTTTCCGCGGACGTTGAAATTTGAATCCTGGGAGGTAAATAAAATATCAATCTCTGTTCTCAATTTATATAAAGTTGTATTTAACTCGTCTTCGTCTCTCTCTCTCTCTTTTATAATATCAGGAAATAATTTTTTCTCATACTTCCAAGAAAGAAGAGTTTCATTATCAAGTGTACAAATATAGAATCTCTCACACGTGTTATTTTATATAATCATTTACAATAAATAATAATTATACAATATAATTAGCGGCTAATGAAAATGGTTATATTTGTTTGAGCGTCGCATGATATTTTAAATAATAATACGTGTTTATACATCCATGAAACGGTTGAAGTAGTTAGCGAGTTATAAAGCAAATGACTCTTTTGCATCACGCACAGGCCTCTATTGTACGATCGATGATTGATGCGATTCACTTCGTGCATTCGTCCTATCGATTGCCGTGTTAGGTAGAGTTGCACGCGCCGAATGTATAGACGACTGACGTTTCGCGATCGAAGGGTTTTTAACAAACGATCGGGCAAATGATGGATTAATCTACCATTAAGTAGATAAACGTGCACGTCACAAAATGTCGTCGAGTGAATTTTGTGTAAGACTAAATGAGAAATCGAGAGAGTTAAAGTAAAGTTTATGCAAATTATTTGACTCTTATGTCACTCTGTTTCCTCAAATTTTTATCCCGAATCAAAATTCTCCCCTTATTTTTAATCTCAATATTCGATCGAACATCTCTAGTTTGACATTTGACATTTTAAGCAATCAGATAAATTAAACTTATTAAAAATCTAAAACTTTTTATTCATTTATGTTACTCTTTTCCCTTCTGTCAATGAAGGAGTGACCCCAAGTTATTTTAAATATTAAAAATAGGTACGTCAAAACTTTTCTCTGCCAAATCAAAATACGAAGAAACTTTGTATTTGGATAATATTCTAAAATATAACGGGAAAGAATATTCGATGGTCAGCAGCTGCTATAAAGGCAAATTGTGCAGTGTAATCTGTCAAAAATGCGCTGGTACCCGGGTACTTATACATTGATTGATGTATGGGCACCCATACATATATTAATAGATTGACGAAAGATGAAAAAATGATGCATTGACAAGAACATGATATGAGAGTGTTAAGACATCAAGATAAAAATATTTGTAAAAATTTCAGAATGTAATTAGCGTCCCAAATGTCCGCAAAGTTGGACTACATGTCTAGAAGAGGAGCGTAATGTGCACGCGCGCATGAACTTCCGGAAAAGATAATTAAGCAAATTGGCGACTGCTAAGAGAGATGTCGGAAGGAGCGATTGCAATGCGCAATGTTACGCTCGTGTTACGCAGACCACGTTGCTCTAACCGCACAGGACATCCTGCGGCGATAGGAGGATCCTTTGGAGAACGCGCTACGTTTAATTTGCTGCGTTTCCGAAAGGCTCCAACGCGGATAACGCGATTAAGGACTGCAATCTCGCTGACAATATCGGATCTCCCCCTATCGGGGGAGAGTGCAGATAGAGGCGGTGGAGGTTAATTAGAAAAGCGACGGGATTCTGCGGCCAGAAGCAGTATCGTGAAACGTCGATAACATTATCAGCCTGTCACGGAATTGTCGAGAACCGAGGCAGACCAAATTGGACAGAAGATCGAATCTCCGGAGTCCGGCTTCCGGACAAGCTGCGGTCAAGCTTCCTCGCTGAGGATGTTTGCACAGAGAGGATCGAGAGAAAATACTTTGCTTCGAACGCAACATTTATCCGAGCCCTATAAGTGATGCCAACAGAATATTCATGAACACTTTGACAGCTAATGATTGCATCTATTTTGTTTTATTGAGATATAAATAACATTGATCATCTATTGTCAAGTGTGAACACCTATTTACTATCGTTACACTATTTCATTTACTTAAACTGCATTAAAAAGAACTTGGAAATGAATGTTCCTAATCTGGATAAAGCGAGGATGACAGATTTAAGCCTGATGCTATAGGTTCAAAGCTGGGTCTAAACATCCAGCTAATAACAAAAGAAGGTACAATGGATCATCATAATCTAGGTGTCGTTAAGTTTGATGGATTTGTGTAGGAATTGAGTTTCTACTTTTCACCAATAATCAGTAAACAAACAGGAACTAGATTAATACCATTCACTATTGCTACCACACCAAACTCGAATTAGGCTGAAATGTACAATTTATATCTGTAGAATTAGGCATAAGCAAAATTTAATTGGACTATATTTCTAGATTTGATAAGCATTTATTAATTCGACTGATTTATGTCGAATCAAGATCTTTTCGCGTATCGTACCGGATATCAAAAATTTCGTCTTATCAACTCGCTCACTTCACTCTGACGTAAGTCAACTCAATTACCCACAATCGTGGTTAATCTGTCCCCGATTATACATACGCGTCGCTCAAGTCGTCCGACTGTTCTTTCGACTTACCGTTGTTCATCTTGCAATCCACAACCGTGGAACGTGATAGATCGAGACCGTTCATCTGTGATCCTCGTCTCCTCAGTTCCAGGGAATCCTGGGATCCTCCAAATGACTTTGGACTCGGAGACTTCGGATCACTTCCGACACATCGGCATCACAAGACGTTCTCCCTCTCACGAGATCATGTCAACATGTCACGAGAAAAATAACGAACGACGAAAGTCGGCGGAAATCCGGGCCGAGTGTCTTCATGATCAATCGGATCGGCTGAGAACGCGGTCGCGACTTCGACTGGAACCTGAGTACACCGTCTATCTCCGGAAGGGGAGGAGGGTTGAAGAGGGGGATAGATGCAATCGCGCGCACCAGGGGGATAGCGCCCCTTAGAGCGCCTTTCCAGGGAGGCCAGCAGACCTACGGGAAGTAGGTAGGAAGAGACGGACACAAACGGAAAGAGCCGCTGCTGCGTGTCAGCTGGCCTTTGGCGGACTAGAGGATCCGAAATCTGTTGAGAAGAGGATGGCACGACGAGGGTTCTCTCGGGATCCCAGGGACGATACACGGGGTGTGGCAGATTGCTTCCAGCGGGACCTCTGGTTGGTTCACGGGCGGAGCCACCCCTATCGCATCCAAGTCCCCACCAAGACGACCACAGCATCCCTCGGGAGAGCGAGCGAGAGGGACGCGGCGCTTCGGCGATGGAGCGTAATGCGACTGTCTGAGAGAAGAGCATGAGGGAGGGGGTAACAGGGGAGGGGGTAACGTAACGTGACGCTGATAACGAAGGAGATTTCGCGGTAGCTGAATGTCAAAGTCGAGCACGGGATTCTTTTCTCCGAGACGCGACAGCTCTCGACGAAAATCGATTCTCGAACAGAAAGGCACAACAATATATTTTGTAACAATGTAAATGAATAATATTATCGGTAATATAATAAATAAAATAATAGGTAATAATAATTTAATGTAATAAATAATTATTTATTTCAGATTACAGTGTGAATATATTTATAGAATTTTAATACGAATAACGTGTTACATTACCTATAATTTTAGGACTGCGAATAACATTATACTTGAAATATTTTTAAGTAAAATAAAATTCTAATTTAATAATAAGAAATCTTAATGTAAATGAAAATTTTCTATATTTCTTATGTAAAAATTTTTTTAACCGAAACATCAGCCCGACACCAAATCAGAGTCGAGCAAACTATTCCAGATATGAATAACGCGAAATGTATCCTTGACGTGTGTATTAAATTTCCTACATTCTTCCTCGCAAGTGAAGTTAAGAAACGGTTGGCAAGAGGCAGAGCAAAACCTCCATTAGTAACATATAGGCAGTGGTAGAACTGTGGTACAGAACCGTCAACGGACCGAAATATTTTTTATCGCAAAAAGTCTCTATCGAAAGGCGTTTCGACGTACAAGGACGAATAGGGAAGGAAGGACCCCACGCGGAGATCGGGTCAATGGGACAGCCGGTGAATTCTCATTGGACCAAGGGTGACCACTTTTTCACTGCAAAAAGTGACTGTCACAAACCTCCAAGTCAATTCTCGATTTTTTTTTTTTTTTCAATTGCACTCGACAATTCGCCATGATTTGTCCATCGACTCGGCTTCAAAGTCAATCGGAGGAGCGAAGTATCGAAAACATCAATGTCGCGTATTGTTACGCTGTACTGTCTGACGGAAAAAAAAAATGTTTTTCTACGAATATGCGCAGTATTCATCATAACCGAAATTTTCTCCTATATAATCTCAAATAAGAAACAAGTTCCGTCAATGCTGGAGTTCTCGCATGCGTATACTTTTTCTTTCCTACAAAAATATCTTATTGTTAGAGCTTCTGTTTTTTTAATCCCAAAATATATCCCACATTCTCATCCTTAGAAATATTATCGAAAGCCAAAGCTTAACGTATAAATCAGAAAAAAAATAAAGCAAAGGTAGGTTTATTTTAGAATTTTTAAAAAGGTAATTATAATTAAAATTTTTTATTTCTTATTTAATATGTTGTAAAAACTCAAGGTAGTAATTTTATTTTTTTAACTTTATCTAGATATTTATCGCACGAATTTTTATTAAGTTTCACTGCGGTGCAATTTCCATTTGCCTCCTTTTTCTTCGTGAGTTTTTCATTTTTGTCTCTTAAAAGAAAAAAAAGAAATAATCGAGAGTTATTCTTTCGCTGTTGGTTTTTATTTCCGTGGCCGATGGGGGTGCGATGATTTAAATTTCGCGCCCATAAAGTCAGGACGATCGCGGATAAAGCCGCGCGGGAATATATGAGCGGAGTTAAAAAAAAAAGACGCCGGAAACAAATCTTCATTTCGTGTAACCGGCGGAAAAAGGCGGCTGTAACGACGATATGACTGTGTTTCGCAACCGGGAAGACATGTGTCGCGTACAGTTATATCATTCTTTATGGCCGGCAGAGCCGAGGTACCCTTCTGTTCATTCGACGTCAGCCACGTCCTTCGCGCAATATTTGGAGGGGCTTGATTTACACAGGCATAAAAATGTCTCCACATCGCGGATGTTGATATCACCTATTGCGCGATATTCACCTTCTAGGCGGTAAGAAATCGTGTATCCTTTGACAAAATCGATGTCGTTGCAATAAAATGTCTTTTTTGTGACATCTCACTTTAACAGGATTTTCTCTTTCTTTTTTTAATTCGAAAAAAGTAAGTATAATATTGTCACATATCTTCAAACCGCATGTAAAAATATAGCGAAATGTTCTCTTGAAAACTCGTACGATATAGAGAAACAATAAAGTGGTGTTTGTAAGAATTAAAGTTGAACAATTTAATTATGTGTAATCATACACAGACGATTTATAATTAGATAATAGAATAAATGTAATTAAATACTAAAATTTAACAATTAAATATGTTTATGTAACTAGCTTGTTTGTAATGCATTATTTCCATATGTCATACTATTTAGAAATTTTGCAAATATTTATAATTAAAACATTTATATGTTATTATGTAAAATTAAATGTTATTACACACTAGCTTTAGTGATAATTAGATATTTATCATTACCTGTTATATGTAACTCATATCTGCGCGCAAAGCGTAATAATTCGCGATTATTTTACGAAATAAATTATATTAGCTGTAATTTTTTATTTTAATTTCATCTCTTAAATTTAAATTTAATTTTTTACATACCGTCGAGATATCATTTTAATTCATTTTTTTTTTTCCAATTGTTAATTTCTATTATACGTTCTGTCAATAAAATTTCAATAGTTACATATATGTTTAAGTACCACAATCCTTGTGTGTGTATGTGTGTCTTCGTGAAACATGACACAGAAATTACCCGATCGATTCTCACGCGTATGACGACGTCAACAACGACGTCGCCGACGACGAAGACCAACGAACCTACGAGAGAGAGAGAGAGAGAGAGAGAGAGCAATAAATAACGGGAATATCAAAGGGTTATCAGATCTAAGCAGACTTCCTACGTCTGGCGCAACTTCTGACACGTGGAGTGACGATGCTGTAATGTCGGCGGCAAAGTGTACGCGTGGTAGAGCGAGGGGGTTGCGGGAGAGGGGATGAGGAGGAGGTAGGTAGAGGTAGGTAGGCGCGAAGCTATTAAACTGACAGAAACACTTGCCATCCCCTCGTCGCTACCCCCGTCCGCCTCCACCCGCCACTCACGAATCCCCGGCCATGCCATCCCTTACTCGGGGAGCCCTACGTCCTTTGCTCTCGCAACACCGGAGTTATTAATATTTTTCGCAGCCCCCGAAAAATTGTCTCTCCCGCAGCCGAGCTTCCACGCCGGAGAAGCAATTTTGCGGACGTGTCGTTGATTGTCAAAGGATGGAGCGACAGATAGAGTTTTCATCCCCTTCTATGTGTGATTCCCAAACGACGCATGGATTATTTATTATAGAATAAAAATAGAATCGAAATCGATTTATTTCTTCTTCATTTCGAGCTTTCAAGCTCTCAAAAGATTTATAAATTAATTGGACTTTGTATATTTTTTAATATTAATATTAGAGTGATAATTATACGGTCTGATACTAAAATTAAGAAATTTACGAAAAATGGAGTCAATTAGTTATCATTATCACAATGTCACTTACGATTATCAAGATTAGCAATAATGTTCTTGATTTTTGTTATTCGATTAAATAATAAAAAACTAATAAATAAATTTCCTGATAATTTTAGAGTTAAATATATATTGGAAGAAACATTCAGTACTCTAAAGATATTATATCTCATTCTGCGATGCGCTTCGATTAAAAAATGGAGCGACGGATAAAAAGACACAGTTACTCTTCTCTTCCCTGCGATTTCTAAACGGCACATGTATAAATGTGCGTTTAAAAAAAATGAAAAATATAAAAATCAATTTCTTCTTAATCTTCTCTCACTATAAATCTCTTAAAAGTCAAATTAATTGGACTCTTTGTAAATTGTTCAATACTAGAAGGATAATCATATACTCTGATACTAAAATTAAGAAATTTATCAAAAAATGGAGTCAATCAATTTTTATTATAACAATGTAAGATTAGCAATAATGTTACATTGATTTCCGTTCGATTAAATAATCTTTAAGTCAAGATATTTGAATCTGTTTCTCGCATTATAATCTTCCCTCTTGCCACAAATGTTTATTCCTGATAATTTGTATTACACGTGCAGGCAAAGTGGCACTTTGTGTGCGTGTTTTCTGTGCGGAAAGCGGCCGATTTCCCACGCCGCCATTTAGCGGCGACGCGGTGAGTGAATAAGCCGCGTTCAAAACCATTGCCTACGGCTGAGCCGCGTTCAAAGTCATTGCCCACGGCTTCAGCCGTGGACAATGACTTTGAACACGGCTATTCCCGCACCGTGCCGCCGCAAGATGGCGGCGTGCAATCGGCCACCTCGCGCACAAAACCACTTTGCCTGCACTTGTAATACAAAATAATATGTGTATCACGTGCGGATTGACAATTGTTCACTCGTGTGGGGTGGTCCATCCCCCGCACTCGTGACCAATTGTCAACTTTCCGCACTTGATACACAATATACTATTGTTCTTACTCAAATTTTTTGAGTAAGATACTTTAAAGAGTTAATAAACTAGGATGAGAAATATATTTCTATTTTTTTCATATCCCATTCTACGGTCTCCCGGAGTGCGATTGAAAATCTGTCGACGCCGATGAGAAAGAGCTTTGCTCTTCTCGGCGACGTCTCCGTCGACCGTTAACGGTCGCGCGAGGAAGAAACGAGCTGGCCGAGAACGAAGAAAGAAAGGAGAAAGAGAGCGACTGACTCATTGAGAAGAGGCGGAAGGAGAGAAAGAAGTCAGTCCTCGAGGCGACTAAACAATTGTCTCGCGCTCGAGTGGCCTCCTGTAAAAAAGTTCGCGTGGTCGACTCCTCGATGTACCCCGGAGGCGATTGGCGCGTCTCCCCACAAAGACATCCAGCGAAAAGAGAATGAGAGGGCCCGGGCTTGCGATCAGCTG